CAGAAATGTAAAACTCTAGCAATTCACAACTTGCCATGCATATGTTTCTTTGATCTTACGATTTATTCTAAATACTGCAACCAATGATAACTTACTGTTGGAATAGTCTTTGCTGAAACGGTTTAACTCATGACGAAAGGAAAATTACTTTTGTCTTTGTGTCTAAGATTACATTTTCAGGAAAACTAAATCGGCAGAACTTATTATTGTCGTAAACAGTGATTGTATTTTGATAAATAGTTATTTATTTTCGTAGAAAGACAGTGACGCAAGCTAAATTATTTCTGCTTAAAATAAAAAGCTTCAAGTATTGTGGTTAAATGACTTTTTATAATCAACACAAATGCTTATTAATTTGTTGTTTGTCAAAACTTTATCGATATTATTTTACTATAATCAAAGACTTAAAATGAAACATACTTCGCTAATGGCAAAGATATGTTCAGAATAAACCTGGATGACACGAAAAGCAATCACGTAGACGGTAGTTTATAAATAAAAAATCAAGTTAAAACTTCACCAGCGCAGCACTCGGCGGGAAGTCTTTACTTTCAGCAAACATTAACTTTGAAATTTATATATTTGCATTTCTTTGATGATTCTGCAATCTTTGGATTACTCGAAACGTCTTAGATATAACCAACTTAATGTAGACTCGTGCCATCAAAAACTACCAAATACGATTATTAGTTAGTGTATTCAAGGTAGATTAGGTGATGTAGTTGTATACGTTGAAATGTATACTTATTTTAAACGCATATTCCTTCATGTGATTGTCAAAAATTGGTTCGTTTGAAAGCATTTTGTCTTTATTTTATTTGTGAACTGTTTGTTGTGAAACGTTTTTTGAGAAACGATCCAAATAATGGTAGTAACATGAACATTTATTTTGGGTATACAATCAGTCACTTATGTGTAAAAGCTATATTTTCTATTTAGTTTATTGTCTATTTAGCTAGACTGCAACATCTATAATTAATTTTGGAAAAAAAATTCAACATTATAGAATGTGAGAAGAATAATAATAATACTTGATAATGTGTAAGTAGATAGATTAAATTGCGAGGCTAAAATACAATAAAGAGATATTACTCATAGAATTTGATGACGTGGGACCAAAAAGCAAATAGATGAAAAGTTAAGTAGTAAATCTCTTTCTAGAATATTAGTATGAAAACCAAAACATCTGATTAGGCCTAATATGTACACATCTAATACAAAACTACAGTTGCAGCCAAATTTACACTTTTTGTTTGCAGGTCGCACCTTTCAGTTGGATCTAAACATATGATAATTGAAGGGAAATTATTCAGTTTTCAGAATAACAAAACGAGGTAAATTCACTGTAGGTAGGTTGGCCACTCTGTACGGCCGTCAGTTTTAATTCCACCATTGTTCAATGAATAATTAATGCCTCAGTCAGGCATTGTTTTCTTGCTCGCCGGACATTAATGAAAAACAACACAGGCATTGTTCAGGTAGCGCCTAGCGCCATGCTGCGTTCGTTATTAATAGCGTACTAATAAGGTGCATTATGTACCGAGAAAGGAACGGACTGGCTTTCTAGGGAGATGTCAAAGGCTTATAATGGTCTAAAGATGTTCTGTTCAATAGTAAACTTGAAAATATTAGTAGTTAGTTTAATAGTATTGAGTTTTCTTGTGCGAGAAAACTTAAATTAAATTTTAAGTTATTTTTGATGTTAAAGTCTGCTGATGTAAAATTTACGTGTAGACTTTGATTTTCTAAGAATATATTTATTTATGAATTAATTTTAATTTTAACAAATTTATTTGAAAATAAAAACAATTGGTTATTACATACTTTTCTTACCGTTTGGTCAACATAGCTATTTAACATTAAAATCTAAAACGATCCAACTTTCCTTGGGAATAAAAACGTACTACGACAAAGATACAGTAATTGAAAAATCGAATCTAGATGTTCATCTCGACTTTATTTCTAAGGTCAAAACAACTCGAGACAAGACCAGAATTAGGAAGGAGGGTAATTTAGGTGATAAGATCAACCGCCGGTGGGTAAGTACTGGGGGAATGTTCATTTGCCGTAAAGAAAACTGAGGGGAAAGGTAAATGTTAGGGAAATGCCAATGACGATACAAAGGTCTACAACATTTACCTGTTATGTATCCACGATAAAATTTAGTAGAATTTCATAATTACTTTAATGAGAGAAAAGTTAATTTAAATATCACATACTAAAATTTTGAATAAAGATTAAATATATATTGCAACAAATTTCCCTTAGAGGGAGTGCCCCTGAACCCAGGTAAAATGCGTATGTCCAGGGGCACGTAAAAAAATCATCCAATACTATGAGATGTGTTGATTAAGGAATAGTCTACTCCTTGAAAAAAAAAAAACATTGCAATGCTAATAAAAATAATAATGCCAAGCTATAATTACAATTCTAAATAGAACAAATCGGACTTTGCTTACAGTGCAGAAATCATTTGAAGTAGAATTGCTGGCTAAAGGTTGCAGAATGTTAGCAGGAAGTGATAATTACTAGAGATAGGCCAGAAAAACACCAGGGAGCAATCACGGGGTCTCAAACTGGAAATTGAGTTAAAACTTCAACCCCTACGTCATCCCTCCCACCACCAACCACGTATACTAATCACTAGCTCATGTTTAATCCTTCCTCATCCTTCATCTAGACTGTTTTTGACGAAAGAAAAATTTGCTTTTGTGCACTCAAAGTTAAAAAGAAGTCAAAATCAAAATTGGCTACAGATGATTTGGTACAGATTTTGCACTTTAAATGTGGCAGTGTTGTTAAAGTGTTCATCACCATATATACAGTATAAGTTGCCAGTTCGCTTCCAAGAACGAGGCAAAGGCCTCACTGACTCACTGGACTGACTGACTGGCTCACTCACTCATAATAATTCTCTTACTTCCCATTTACCTAGGAGGCTGAAATTTGGTACACAGATTCTTTAAACCAAATTTTTCATCTGGCCAATATCCACTGGATTTAAACATAAAATATTGGCCATTGTTTAAATTAGATCGCAATTTCGTTTCTTAGAAATGTTATACTAAAATAACAGAAAAAGCCTACTCACGAAGAAACATTTTCAATAATTTTCTAAACCCATTGCTTAGAATTTACACTTTTTCCTCTGGGATTCCCAAATTTATTTTTCTACAGCAAAAATGAATCATAGACTTTCTTCTAGATAAATGTTACTTTTGAATAAATTAAAGCTCTCATCTACTATTTTCACTTGATAAACAGTCACATAATACACACACTTAGATTAAAAATTGTGATATTTATTTTACCTATAATACCGCTTTCACATAAATACCACACACTTGAAGACGTTCCGTATCGCCAGTGGGGATGAACATTATTTTACGGACCGTATACCTTTATGGCTCCCTGCTTCTATTGTAGCTTGTATTCCCAACCTCTTACGAGATCTTCCGTTCTTTCTGGAGTGTTGTGAGATACGTTGTGGAATCATGTGTTATTTTCTTGGTAAAATTGCTACATCTTGTTAAAAAAATAGATTACACGTTTAGAGTACAACAAGAAAAGAGTCAGCTAGATGTACGGTAGTTAAAATGGAAAAGGTCTGTAAATGAAGGTCTGGAAAATATTAAACAACTAAACTGTGTACTTTGTAACTTTGTAAAAAGTAGTAACATATTCATTTTAAAACTACGTAATAGCTAAAAATTATTATATTTCCAATTACAGTAAAACTAAAAATAATACCTTGCCAGATACTCAATTTATTCCAAAAGGATTTCTATTTAAAGGCAATTTATGTGGCGTGAAGCTAAGGTAAGGCAGTCAAATCGATGAATAATGCCAGGAGGGAAGCTTCAGTAAAACAAGGGCTTAAAATAACTGGTTCTTCATACATTTTATTGTGAAAATAATCAATATCATAATGTTTGGAAAACTATTGATTGTTATTATTGGATGACACACTACAAGTGTTTAAATAGTACTGCGTACAGTCTCTTGTATGCTAACATTTTAGCTGTGTAAAAATAAAATTTTTCCAGGAGTACATAAATATTTTAATTCATTATCAACTACTGAATGTGGTACAATTTAATTAAATTTTTGTAATATATATGCTGGATCTATTTCATACAGTAGATTTAAAAACCATTCCCCGTTGCGAAGCACGTGTGTGCTGTCTAGTACTGCATATATTTCCTGTTGCTTAGCGGTCCTATTATGACAATTGCAGTGTTATTGTGATGTATATGCATTGTTATGCATGTATTTCATTCTGATGCAGTATGAATCTGCGTTAAATCTGTAATTTCCACGTTGTAATTGATATATTTCTCTCTCGGTTAATTGGCACCACTGTTGCTATACATATTTCTCTGAATCACAGTATTTATTGGTAATATTGTTGCCATATATATATTTCTCTCTGTTGCAGTATGCATTGGTACCACTGTTGCTACACATATACTTCCCTCGATCACAGTATTTATTAGTACCACTGTTGCCACACTATATTTCTCTGTTGCAGTGTGGATTGGTACTACTGTTTCTGCAACCTAAATTTATCTCTGTTGCATTATGTTTTGGTACCACTGTTGCTACACATATATTTCTCTCCGTTGCAGTATAGTTTGGTACCACTACACACATATTTTTCTCTGTTGCATTATGATTTGGCACCACTGTTGCTACACAATATTTATCTCTGTCGCAACACGAATTGGTACCTCTGTTTTACACATTTATCTCTCTATTTTGCAGTATGAATTTATACCACTCTTGCTACACATATATTTTTCTCTGTTGCATTGTGTTTTGGCACCACTGTTGCTACACAATATTTCTCTCTGTTGCATTATGTTTTGGCACCACTGTTGCTACACATATATTTTTCTCTGTTGCATTGTGTTTTGGCACCACTGTTGCTACACATATTTTTCTCTGTTGCATTATGTTTGGGCACCACTGTTGCTACACAATATTTTTCTCTGTTGCAGTATGGATTGGTAGCCCCGCGATGGGAAGTGTTGCCGTTGCAGTGCTCGTGTTGCTGATGTGTCTCACAGTCAGAGGTAAGTGTTGCCTTGACTACGCCCCAACTCTCGACTCAGCGCTACCAACCCCCCTTACCTTACTCCCCAACATCCCTACAACTACCGCACGCCTCCACCACCTTCAGAATAATTCCTGCTCCCCATGTCCATTTATTCACCGGTCGAGCCTCCAAGTCGTTCCCGTCAGCTTCTGATTGTGGGGGAGACGCAATATTTTGGAGTGCTAGGGGATCTGCGATAAGACCGTTTGCTTTCTTGTATGATTCTGTGTTCTGTACACAGACGAGGTAACAATGCGGTGTTGGGGGAGGCGATGACTTTGCAGATTCTTGAATTAACTGCGAAGTACTTCTGATAGGGGTGGGACTAACTTGATAAAAGTAATTTGCTTTGGATCTTTTAAAGGGTTGTACACGGCAGTAGCAGTATATAATGAGCAAGATTAGACGTAGGCCTACATTCGGATTGAAAAAAAAAAAAAAAAAAAAAAAAACAGTAGCCTATAACAATCGTTTACGTTTTTATATTTTTATCGTGAATTGAAAATGTTATATAAAGAATCACAACAGGCTCTTTCGTTAAGCTTATAAAGAGGGCTTAGTATTTTTTTAAATTAAAAATTAAGGCCAAGACGAATTTGAAAAACCAGACACACCAAGAGTTACTACTGTACTGTATTTTGAATAAATATTGACAATAATCTATGTTTAATATTGTAGGTACTTGTTGAACTGACCCAATATGTGCTGTGCGTAATATATTTTTGCAATAATATATTTGATTAACCGTATAATCTTAAGTTATTTACTGTTGAAAACCAATACGTAATTAATCGTCTATGATGGTTATCAAGTTGGATAACTATGACTGGTGTGTAAATAATACTTAAGACGCAGCTATACCATAAAATTGGGAAACCTTACAAACCAATAAAAAAATTAATAAAAAATTACATTGACTGTGAAACAAATACAAAATCACACTTACAGGAATATATATATTTTTTAAGAATGTCTAAAACTAAATTGTAACATTCATAGTACGAAAGCAAACAAATGTTTTGGAAGCAAATAATGTTATTCGGACTCCCTAGTGAATTACCCAACTAATTTTATTCAAAATTTCACATTCAGCGTGACAATTAATTTTGACCCTCCGTTTGTACCAGACGACCCAAGGGCGTGAAGTGATCCCTATTAAACGCCGTGCCGGGTCGGGTCATGTTGGCTTTTGGGGGATTACTTTGACCGGCGACAAAATGCATCAAATCCCCGACACAGGTCGGGGTTACGGCTTGGGTAATTAATATTCTGTCACCCTAGCTGGTACTAATGACATAAACGGTGGCTCAATTATAATTCCCAATAATAATTTGTCAAATATGGTTGGTGATGGTGTTACAGTAATGAATTCATGAAAGAGAAATATATGTATGTAATAGAAGTTTATAGAGGTTGGGAAGCTGGATGGTTATAATGATTGGGATCAAATATGAATGTAGCTGGTTCGATTTCCTGTGTAATATATTCTAGTCCCAGATGTAATTTGTCATTAGGCTATATATTAATATTAACATTAATTAATATTATTACAATGTTAATACAAATCGATAATTCATTAGGTATAACTTAGATTATTTTATAATTATAAATTAGGTAACTTAGGCCTAATGTTAAGGTTGACAAAACAAAAGGTTGAGATTATGAAAACCGGGTTTGGACAGCTTAAAAAAATAAAGAGAAATTAAAATAGAAAAGAAAAACATTACTAAAAAAAATGTCGGTTGAAAATCATTTTCTTTTTAAGGTTTGAAACTGTATCTAAAAGATTGATTATTGGTCGTTTATACCTGGTTCGAGCATTAGAAAGACTTGCCACACAAGTAATAGGTCTTCATCGAACACTTAACATGTATTCATATATAGATTAAAATACTTGAAAACAAGCTTAACCAAGAGTTTTGATTTCAACGAGCTGAAGCTATTACAAACCTGGGAACTTGAAAAAAGTCGTTATCGGGTTTTTTACTATGATCGGTCCAATGAAAACAAATAAAAAATACTTTACAGACAATTTATTTTTTTCATCTTTGCATGGAGGTGCCCCCATTAATCCATATTAATATGAATGATACTGTTTTCTTGGATGTATTTGAAAATAAGTATCGGTTTAGGGTATGCATGTTGTTGGTAGTATTAGTTGTTTGAATGCAAATATCATTTAAAATCAATCCTCGCAAATAAATATTTACTAACAATTGAAGAGGCATGATAAATGATACTTTTCAGTTATATACACCATACCAGGTTACTTTTTAAAATCGATTCAAGGTTATTCATTATCAATATTACAAGAATTAAATCTTTGTACGCAGTAATTTCAACGAATACTGTTATAGCCGCAAGGCATACAGTAAAGCAGTAAGGGTGTGTGAGGTGTGAGAATTTTAACTTAACGGCGACGAGAATATTTCATGAATTCCGTGACGAGACTGTCACTGTGTCGTTTCTCTTCTTTTCGGAATATTTTCAACTCTCAGAGAATTTTATTTTGCGTGGCCTACATACAACGTCCCCATTAAAATATACTCTTCGTCCCAACCCAGTTTTAGGTGTCTCACAAAAAAATATTTTGTTAAATTTAATGTGTTGTGGAATATGTAAAATATAACATTGTTGTCTGAGGACTTTTTTTTATGAAATTGTTGACTTTATTATTGTTTCAAACAACTCTCTAGTCAGTTATTTATAATTGTGTTTTTACAGTATCGAAATACGTGTACAAGTACAAAAGTACACACATAACTCAAAAATCATCTGTAATGGGTGTAATTATTACGACTGGAACACTGGAATTGATACATTGTCGTCCATTATAACACTATCTTTTTTATTGATTTGTCTTTTAATCTTTGATTAATTTATCTGTTTAAAATCTCACCATACGAAATAATAGCGATTGACTTACAACTATTTGTACTTTTCTAACATCTAAAAATGTTAATGAAAAATAAAATAAACAAATAATGCACTGCCTCTAGATGCTTTCATACTTTTTCGCCCAGAAATCCGTCATATTTGGACCATAGTAAAGGTGTTCTTAATTCAATGGCAAAACTGAAATGGACTTACCTGTAATTCCCATTCGGAAACATATTGGACCAAGTTGACCCTTAGCTCTTCCCGTGCACCACTGAAATTGTTAACAATTATTTATTGTGCAGGAAGAACTTGAGTTACAAATTATATAACAATTTAAAGTCCAACTAATTGTATACCGAATCCATCCACTTCCTATGACGAAACTCAAATAACACACAATGAGGAATTAATTTTCCACCTAATCATTCTCGACCGGTGACAAAGCAATAAAACTCATTAATGAGCCGGAAAGACCAAACTGTAGGGAGAATTGAGAGGGTAAAGACAATAGCAGTTAGGCCCACTCGACGTCTATAATGATAGCTAATGCTAAGGTCGGTGACATGTTTAGTGCTGAGTGGTGGAACTAAGGCAACAATACGATACTTGCTATATAAACCACCATAAAATACCCAGGATTACTTACACAATCTGTTGGTGAAGTATTGTCAGCTTAGCTCGGCCGGTGGTCTAATCGTGTAACAATCGATTGTATTCTATATACAACAGGCCAGTTGGCAGACACCCAACGATTGTTCAATCGATAGTTTGGTTAATCGATGGTTTCGGTTTCGACCACTTGTAGTCTCCGTAATACATTTCACAAACTAGTTTCATAAGTCGGACGGTAAAACATCTAATAAAACATATATTCACCTGAAATATGGTAAGGTGACATTTTATTTATTTCTAGTTGACAATACAATATTCATTAGGCCCAATAGGAAAATTAATCGAAATTAGTTTCTTTTGGTCAACAGAAGTTACTGTGGATTCACTGTGACAAGTGACTTTTTATCATCCTTCTCTTCGTTCACCTTCTTCTCACAACAATTAAATTACAATAATTCTTTTTTGATTCGGAGATGGTTCTTTACCTTGCACATGGCAGCTTTAAGTAACGGTTGCATTTTTTCGTGACACTCTTTTACTGGGTCTATCACCTTGCTTATCTTTTTTTTGCATACATTTACACCCTCGTAACGAATACAGAATAAATAGAAACTATTGTAAGACGTAAACGCATTTTAAATTTACAACCGGTGAATAAAATAACACTGTTTCAAGCTAACAGAGAAATTAGTTAACGTATTGTATATTTAATAAATCGCTAACATATTCTACTAGCGAGTTGTAAATCAATGGTTTATCGATTATTCGATAGTTTCAGTGTACGATCTCTCGCACCGTCTCGCCGTCCCCTCAGCAATTGATCTTTTATTGGGCGATAATTTACAATTTGCCAACGCGTTTCGCCCTATGGTGGCACTTGGGGACTTGACGATTTGCATATTATTGCTTGTTCCTTAGTGAATATTAAGAGGATGTGTTCTTGTTAGCTGAATCGCATTCAAATTTTATGTTAATTGGCAATAAGTCAAATAGTGGAAATAATTTACAAATTCATGATTTCAGTAGTTTTCTTGTAAATACACTGTAAAATGTGGTTTTTTTTCGGAGAATTTTCAACTGTTTTTGTCACTAATTTCACGTTAACCTTCTAACAAACATTGGTAATTTTACAAAATGTGTTATTTACATTGTACCCTACATTGTTGAATCACAAAAACCCTTCTTTTAGTTACAAAGTAATTTTGTAACCGCTATTAGGGTTGCGTGATTGATCCTAAACTAGCATTAGAGTACAATGTTATACAGGGTGTTCATTTGAAAACTTTCCATATCTGTTGTGTGCAAAGGTAAGGCTTTTAACACTTGTTTGTTTTCATTTCCCCCTAATTTGGACATGCCAAATCCAATAAAATTATTTTCAATTTCGAAAAATGCCCCAAAAGGGCCCAATTTGGGGGGTAGGGGTGCTTTTTGAGAAATTTTCAAATGTAAACATGGGTTGTGTGATACATCAATTTAAAGGTC